TATGAAAAAAGTGTCGTAACGTGTTAGCCGATACGTTTCTGGGATGGAAACAAAGGTTTCAGCGTGCCCCTTCGTATCTACCGATACTATAGGTAAAAGCGTCCCTTTCAGAGTTAGTTTTCAGAGTCAAAAAATCAGGCTAAAATCCCATTCACACCAGCAAAGCGTAGTTGGTTAAATCAGCTTTAACTGGATGAAAATCAGAAACAGAGAACTAAAGAACTGAATTTTACATGGGTTTCATAAAGTCACTATCACTGTGCTAGATTAAGCATAAACACTATCTGCAAAAACTCACAAAACTAGCGTAGGTTATCCAACATGTGTTTTAAACAACACATTCGCAGTTTTGTAAGGAAGAAATTTGAAGCTGTGTTTTTATGCGTGGGAAGTGGTTTTAAGTAAACATCGTTCTATAGTGCAAAATGGAATAAATGTATAAATGTATATGCATGCTCACAGCTGTGCTGCACTTTAAGTCTATTTGGAAAGTATATTGCGTAGATATGAATGGTTGCGTAGGTTTACCTAAGTGTAGTAGTTTTCAAGCTGTTTGATAACAACGATGGTTCAAAAGTTTTTTTGAATATTCATTTCAGCTTTTCAAGGAAAGGGCTACTACTCCACTGGAAAATGTGAAATGATCTCTTCCGAGTTGTCTGAGCAAATTGATCCACGAGAGAGTTTCTCAACACATCAGAAGCAAAACTAAAACAAATTATGACCACTTTTCCTCGTGGATGCTGATGTCTTCCCCAAAAGTATTTCAAAACAAAGAACATCAATTGTTTTGAGCTCGAGGTAACAGCTGCAAAAAGATGTTGGGAGATTTAAATTTTTGTACAAAACTGAAAACTTAAAAATAAACCCTATCATTTTTTCCAGTCTGTTTTTAAAGGTCCTCTTTTCTCCGGGTCTTGAAAGTAAACACATTTCCTTTTTTAAATTTTTATGAAAATAGGTGAATCTTCCGAATAAGGAAATACGAAAATGGAATCACACAACCAACGAAGAAACATTCAAATAAAGAACTGTTTCTGGCTGGAGGATAATTTGAATATCATTCGCAGGTCAAAAATATGATAGAATTTAATTCGTAGAGAAACCATTGAAAACAAATTGTCACAAAAATGGAAAAATCCGTCGTTTTCCCGATTCCGTGATAAAACATGTAGTTGTTTTTATAAAACGAGATCGACCTGAGTAAAGTAGAGACATAAAAAATAAAAAAACTCGTCAGTTTTAGCAAATATTTTACATTATGTGATCTCGCTTGTTTGAATATTCAAAAAAGGGGTAATTTTTCGTTTCGTTGTATTGTTTGTTGCAGTCCAAACGTAACTGATTGGTGATTCTAGCTGCAATTAAATTTCATATGCGTCAGCCGAATTTGCGTATCAACACGTATCAATACGTCTAGCTATTTGTATTGACCTTCAACAAGCGGAAACATTTTCGCAGCTTTTATAGTAGTCAAAAATATGCACAATTTCGAAATTTTGGATAGCTTTGCAATTTTCCCATAACACAGGGAAAAAAATTGCTTAGTGGACGCTGTACATGATCATTAATTTCTGTCATGTATGTTTTTAT